TTGCAGTCACTGCAGTTTGTTCAATAACTATTGGTGATGTCATATTAATTATTATAAAACATTTAAATGAGTTTATTAAAATATTAAAACATTTTAAAACATATTTGTAAATGTATAATGTTATGTAATATAGAATGATTATATTTAGATGTGTTGAGTTATTAAATTATACAAAATATAGTTAAGGGGGTGTGGGCCGTGGGGGCGAAGGCCCCCACAAGTTTACCCTACAAATTTATTTTGATCCCCCCCCCCATCAAACATTCTCAGTTACGCCACTGGGTAGGTAATTACTTTGTGTCACATAATCCTGCTACAGACAGCTGCAAGTCAAGTAAGACTGTAAGAGTAAGATATTTAATACATAATATGTGATATTATATAGGTAGGTACATAAATACATAATATATTATATGACATTATATTATGTATTTTACACAGAATTGTATTGCACCTACGAGGTATTTGATCAAATTCTCGAATACATGACATTGATATGAACGTCTGGGCTCTGAATAATATCAGAAGCAATTATTATCTAAATCCAGCACTATTATTGAGAATCATGCAAGTTCTTGATTTATCCACTTAACCTGAACACAACTTTAATGTGTTGTCTCCGTTTTGCAAACGCATAACATACCAAATTTACACTCAGAAATTCAAGTTTTATGCCTTTAGCTCGAAAATTGGAGTGAATCGACCTATTATGAAACTTGATGGTAAGAACATTATCTGTGTTTTGTTGGAAGTTTTTTTTCGATAGTTCAGTTTTTAAGTGAGTTATGAGCATTTTTAATTTACATTTATTATGCACGCTATAACTCTAACTAAAAAACTGAATTATTGTAAAAAAACTTCAAACATCGCACAGATAATGTTTTAACTATCAAGTTTCATAATAGTTTCATTAGTTTTAAGCTAACGGCATAAAACTTGAATTTCTGAGCATAAATTTGGTATGTTACGCGTTTGTAAGACGGAGACGACACATGCGGTGTGGCGTCCTCTTAATAGGTACCAACTTATAAGATCGTACCTAGATATTTGAATTATCTCATTTGTACGTTATTTTACCTACAGTATTTTGTCGGTGGCCTACTAATTATTACGAATTACGAGGGGGGGATCAAACCCTTTCCCATAGGCTGTATATAATATGCGAAAGTTTTCGGAGTTCTAACTTGAAGCTTCTAATTTTAAAGCCGGGGCTACTGCCTACTGGATAAAAATATCATATCCCCCAAGACAAAACCCTAAACACGCCACTGATCCGACCGATGTCGAATACGCTGCTGTCTTTTATTTTAACACTCGTTAGTCGTTATACTTATACAATTAGGTCTAGTAATATTTAGGGTTTTTCGCGTAACTAGACGAAATCAGTGTCCCTAGTGTCGCGATTTGGCTTACCTATAAGGCTATAAACTGGTAATAATAGACAATAGTTAAAAAAAAACAATACATAATATATTATATTGTATATGTAAAATAGCCTAGGTGTCAGGTGATCAATTATTATCGTGAAGGCTGGGTAGTTACCCTCTTCTAGATTTCATATAATCATAATATGTCATGTATATTTTTTTCTACGCTCATCTGCTTATTGTAATTTGTAACTGTTATTACAGGTTGTATAATAAAAGTCCAATAATTAATGTTTAAAAAAAAGATAAATATAAAATATTGATAAATATTCGTATATTTAGGCCAAACAATTTTTTTAAGTATATATTAAGATATATATATATATATATATTTATAAGATATTCTAGTGATTTGTAAATGACAGATTAATATAAGTAGGTGCTTACCAAAGTATCATATTTACTTCTGTGTAGGCATAGTCTGTTGCAATTGTACATGACATATTTTAGGTAGGTAGATTATTATATGTTTACCTTCTTGTTTAGCTTTTACAATATTATTGATAATAGATCATTACTCATTAGCTAAAACAAGCGCTTATAATATATTTTAATGGCTTTAATAATAAGGATTTTTTATTTAGACTATAGTTATACGTAATTTAGTCTAAGAAAATAAGTAGATACTTATAGGTAATAATGATAAATTAAATATTACCTATTTATAATAATTCATGTACATTTATTTTTTACTTATTAGTTTGGATTTCAGAAAAATATCATAAAAATTAACATTAAAAATTATAAATATCATAAAAATTAACATTAAGTAGGTACATCGCTATAATGGTTCAACATTGAAGTTTCCAACCAAAAAACCGCCCATGGCGGCATCACAGCAATCAATATAATTATTGGTTTATTGGTTCTTAATAATTGGCCTTCATTTGACTGCAGTACAGTAGTACTAATAGGTATAAGGTCTGACGCTGCGTAGTCAAAAATGACTTGGCAATTAACAATAAGTTTATATTATATTTTTTTTTTTTATTAGGGTTGAGGCTTCGACAACATAGGTCATCAGCCTGTGGTACTGTAGGGGGGAACTGTAGGTTGTTAACACGTGTGTGTGTTTTGGCAGAATTTTCGATTTGGGCACCTGTAGGTATCTGCCATGCCCGGGTGGGGGATGGCGGCACTTGTTCTCCGGACACCGTGACTTGCCCGAAGAAAAATGCCGCCCGTGACCACGGGATCGAACCGGCGCCGGCAGCGTCGCAACCGACCCCTTAGACCGCTCGGCCACTCCGTCCCCCATTATATTTCTCTGATTTACTTCTCGCTGATAAAAAATGTTCGAGCGACGAGTGTTACAAAGAAATTCATCATTTTTTAATTTTTATATTGTAAATTATAATATACCTACCTATTGTGTGTTATATTTTATGAGATTTAAATCGTATTTCCTTCGAGCTTCGGAGTTAATTTTTATACGTGCTTATGACTTACAACTGTCCGAGTTACAAAACAATTTATTTCCTCAAAAACTATAAAGTTGTGGTTGCTAACTACTACATAATGTTCCGTTTATGAGTAAAAGGTCCATGCATCTTACCCATTTTGTCATGTGTTCGTGTAGTAGTAGTTCACTAGTTCGTGTTCATTTCTACTACCCACTGACTGTTATTTTAGCAGTTATTTTATTAACAATCAATGACAATATTTTCTACGCGTTAACGACGATGGACAAATCCTAACCTGACCGGTAAACGACACGTAATAATAATAATATAGGTAGGTAATAATACTTTTTACCCAATTGCAGTGCACGTCAACAACTGTTTTTGAGTTGTCTGAATGTGTCGCGCACTTAGAGGAAACAAAAAATCCACGCGATGATATTTTTTAATGAAATAATTATCGTAAATTGTTCGAGGACGGTTCGGTCTGAAAATTCTCAGCTTCCGACTTTTCTGGAGCGCCGCGTTTTGTGCACTTAACAGAAGACAATTTTGATACAACAAACTAATTAAAATTTTGGTCAACGAAAGGCAGCGGTGGCCGACGCTGCTGCAGGGTCTGACGTACGACACTCCTTTAACATAAAAATGTTGCGTTGCCGTTCGGAGGCCAGCTCCGTTCTTAATGAATAAGACTTTTATTACAACTGATTGATTTTTCTTTACTATTATCATTAATTAATACGATATAATATTTTATTATTTCAACAATAAATTCTATTATCTTATAAGACCGTCGTCATAGATAATTATGAATAATGATAAATTTATAGCAAAATATCGGTAATAGTAATAAGATTATTATTGTTCTATGGTAATATGGAGGGGATCTGGTGCGACAGCCAAGGTCAACAAAACGTAGCTTTATGGTCAAATTAGCACATAGATGTAAATATGTAACATTTTGGTACATTCAAATATTCAATTAATCAGGTTCAAACTTCAAAGTACAGCAATTATCAATATGTTTAATGTTAGGTACCTTAGGTAGTTAGGTCAAACCACGAATTAATAAATATATCTTACTTCGTGGGTTAAACGGTACCGAATTTATCAGTTATAGCTTCCGGGCTTTATAAATGAAAATTGTTCAGGGGTACCGACTATAACACCTCATTGAACCATCAATACTTTGAGGAGCTGTATCTCGCAAACCAATTAACAAAAAATAAAAATGTTGACGAGTAAATTCATAAAAAAAATGGTTTTATTAATTCATGATCTTTTTATTACCTATATTATGTTACCATTTGAAAATCAAAAGTTAATAGTGGTTTCACCAATAAATATAAGGGTGAAAAAAATGAAAATAGTATACAGTTTTAGAAAAGCATAAATCTAACAGTTTAAAAAAAAAAACAAAAAAAGTTAATATTTTTCGAAATTATTAGTGTACCCACTTAAATGGATCACTCTGTATATTAATTGATAAATAATAGGTACACGAAATCTGTAGCCTGTAGAGATAAACAATTTGTAACATTATAGTTATGTTTGTGAAAATGTATAAGTAAATACTAAATTGTAATAAATTATTATTTTGTTACTTAAAACTCATTTGTGGTGGAGGGAGGTCAATTTATGAGTCAATTGGCCACATTTTTTATTTTGCCTAAGGCCACAAAATGCCTAAATCAGGCCCCGATTAAGTGACTAATAAATTGATAGGTATAGAATTGGTTTATCATTAATAAGCTTAAAGAAATCATACGTTTTATTTATGACATAAAAGTATAGAAGTGAATTGGTCTAAGACCTATCTGCTATCTATAACTGCCATAGTTTTTAGGTACATGCTAATAAAATAAAACCAACATTTGAATAATTCCAATTCGAATGTGATTGTGTAAACTTATCAATATTAGGTAATTAGGTAGGTACTACTTAGGTAGTACCTACTTCATGGCCATTATACGTGTTCCCTCTATATAACTGATTGGTCTATGAAATGGTAATTCTAAACACCGTTAAATTTCTCCAATTTATTAATTAAATACTTTTAAAAATATGTAAAGTGGAAACATTAATAACGTTGTTGTCACAATTAATCGAATATTACAATTTCGTTAAATTAATTTTATAATTTTATTTGACTAATATAGAGTTGTATATAATGGGAAAAAAAAATAATGTTAGTATCTTTATTATTACATTTATTATTTATATTTGTATATTTTTTTACCCACATATGTTAACTAAATTATTGTTTAATAAATTCACAGAGTTATCCAAGAGCAGTCTGGTATATATTTGGAAACGAACTGTGTGAACGGTTTAGTTATTATGGACTTAAAGGTAAATCTTTACACTTACATAATATCTTTCATATTAATACTAAAATGTTGGTTTAGTTTTCAAATGATCATATGTTTTTAGCTGTTTTGGTTTTATTTTTTACAAGTATTCAAAAGTATGACAACAATACTTCCACGATTATAGTTCATATGTTTATTGTCTTTCAATCCATATCAACATTGTTTGGAGCCATCATCGCAGATTCATACTGGGGAAAATATAAGTGAGTGATTGAGTAAAATAAACAAAAGCCATATATTTATTATTTGTAGGTACCTACCTAATTGTAAACTCGCCCCGAGGAAGAAAAAATTTTCAAAAGGTATTTGTATACTCGGCCAGGTTTTTTCAGGTAAAAATAATTGATGTGTAAACTCAGCCTGAATAAAAATATTATGCCAAATCTTATATCTAATTGATATAATCTTCTTATAATATTTTTGAGAAACATTTAGCATTACCCAGATTGTTTTGTTTTCATTTTCATATTATTATTCATAGTATGAAATTCGTTATATAAATGTAAAATATTGTGTAAAAATTTAAGTAAAATGTTATTCAGTGTTGGATTTCATTCGAGTATTCAGTGCAACAATAATATAAGTAAACTGTATTTATGTGAAATGGGAAGTCTAAAAATATAAGTAAAATTGTAGTGTATAATAATGTAAGTAAAATCTATTTTTTTAGGTAAAAAGTCATGTGTTTGACATAATATAGGCACCTGGTACTCACTGATATTTCTTTATTTTTATATTTTTTAAGTGTTATCTACTTATCTCTAACAGTTTTTTTTTTAGTTTTTGAATTTTTTAATTGAAATGGTAAAAATTGATCAAAATTATCCGGCCGAGCTTACAACCAACCTTTTTTATTATCTTAAAATAATACAAGCTGAGTAGGTACAACCACAAATGGAAGTTAGACCGGACATGACTTACCTACCAATCCATTCAACCCTCACAAATCTCTACACAGGCGCAGATTAAAACTATCGTAGACCCTAGGCACAGTGATTTATTACCCATGTGGTCATGTGCTAATACGGTCCTGTAGTGTCCAGTATTTAAATGATTAAGAAACCTAGTGTTTCTAGGGAGAGGTAGTGCTGCATCTCAGTGTTAAAATATTTACAACATGAAAATCAAATCTTAACTTTATATTTGATAACAATTTTAGCACATCTAAAAATACATTTAATTTTCCTTAAAATATATTATTTACAATTAAATTTCTAGAAACCATAAAAAACAACTTATTTTTTACCATTTGCATATTTCTTCCTCGTATTCAACTATTTAAGTATAAAACAAAAGATTATGTAGAATATTTCTTAAATGTAACTTTTTATACTCTGTTCCAAAAGAGAACGATCACTTTTCGAGCATACAACTTACGGCTACGGCAGTGCAAAGGCCCAACATCCCCCACCTTGCTAGCAGACGTTTCTCGAAGACGTTGACGATTGCCGGCTAGAAAGGGGGAGGGGAATTTTGGCCTTTGCACTGCCGCAGTCGTCAGTTGTTTGCGCGAAAAGTAACCGTTCTCTTTTTGAACAGAGTATAGCTACAAAACTTTTTTGTTTGCAAATGATTTTATAACTTTATCAGTTTATGGCTTATCCAATCTGATTTCAATAAGTAATTATTACGAATCACGATAACGAACTTTGAATGTAAATACTACATAAGAGACATTTTATACAAAATATTTTACTTGTGCTCATGTCTACAGATAGTAAATTAACTTATAGTAACAAAAAAAAAATATTATAGAAAAATCTTAACCATTTTAATTTCGTAGGCCTTAAGTACAGTGCCTATAGTGCCTATACTAGGTCCTACGGCTACTACGGCCCTGCCTCTACATCCTACAGGCTACAGCCTATAAGTAGGTACCCTACCTCTAATTAATTAATTAAAAAAAAAAATTCACAATTCAAATACATAACTAAGATTAAGTAATAAATATACATATACGTTTTATTTATAATGTGGAACTTGAATGCCCAAAAAACAAGCTCTAAACACATCGTTCTTAAGCCATAAATTATCAGGCAAAGTGCATAGACAGTTTTCTACCTTATTGGTGGAGTTGGAAAGGGTAACTATTTAAAACGTCATAAATATTTTTGAAAATTGTTTTAATTTTATACTAGAGATTATATGGACTTAATATGGTATTAAAAAAAATAATTCTAAAATTCTAATTTTTAACTACCTATATAATAATACCACTGCAGTATTATATAGGTAACTATAATTAAGGATTTAGATAATAAAGATTGTGATGGATTAATATTTTCAAGTTGTTTTAAATATTGTTTGAAGAATTATGTACAAGTGTAGGTACTGCAGAATAGTGTAAAACGTAGATAAATATTCTAAATTAGGTGTTAGCGCTTTTTTTTATTAATTACTACTAATAAGACACGCATGCAAATACAAACTATATATATTTTTTTTTATCATTTTTACCTACAAAATTGCTATGCGGGGGCGTAACCGTTTTCCTTCAAAGTAACTCTCGACCGTTACCACCGTGTCCATTCCAGCCAAAGGTTAATTCAAATTTGCTCCAAAAAACTTAATATATTTTTCGAGAACGCCTGAACCTAAATCCATCAAATCGTAATGATTACGATGTATCGTCTCATGCTTTCATATCACCTCACCTCGTCACTATATATCATATCAAGTTGGTAATACAATTTTACTAGGGTACCTATTTCACAACGTATACGTATATACGTAGGTACCTATACGTTATTAAATCTGGATTTATATTTGATACACGGCGTATTGCGTGTATAATTATGACCTACTTATTATTGTTGAATAAAAGTTGAAAATATCGAATTTTTCAAATCAATCTTTAAATTTATTACGAATGGTATAGGTAATATACAATAATATAAATATTATACAAGCAACATATTAGTATTACTCATCAAATTATAAAATACAATTGAGCGAATAGTATACACAATATTGGTATATTGATATACCATATAAATAGTAATAATAAGGGATATCCTCTCGGCCTGCTTCTTGACTCGAGAGGCTACTTGTGCGTATCATGGCCGCACGCATGCCTTTCCGCCTCCAACAAATCAGTGGTAGGCATGTCAGCCAGCAGCTGGAATGAGAACTCGTCCTAGACGATTCTATACTCTTAGATGACCCTTAAGGTCACCGTTCTTTGTTGCTTGACCAGGCTGACCATATTCTTGACGGCGTTCACTTCTGTAGCTGCCAAGATGGGGGCCACATATTATAGCATATCTGACTGTGGTGGACTGTACCCAAGAGCTTTCTCCACCTCTGGAAAAGTCCACATTTGTTTGGCATCAGCTGTGGCAATGCTGTTGCGGATTTGGCTGCCGTGGAAGCGACTGTCTCGATATTGAAAGAGACCTTGTTGTCTACACTAGTAGACTCTATAGAATGATGACTCCCAGATATCTTACGTGGGCACTCGGGCTGATCTGTTGTCCCCCAATACGAAGTTGAGGAGGCGATTGAGTACTGTGGCCTGTGATCACATATCTTAGTAAAAAATTTGTTTATTCGTCTAATTATCTGTATTGAATACCTAAAAGGCAAACCTATGTTTTCCTATTCCATTAGAAAAATGATGTAACATTTTTTTTTTGTAATAAGCAGCAATAAATTGGCCCTTTACGTCAGTTGTCAATAAATAAAAATCAAGTTTTAGAAATCAAGATAAAATTTTATAATAAAGTCAAAAAACTATATTACTCAACTTTATCATAGTATCACAGACTACAGTACATCATAGTCAACTTATAGCACCTCAGTTATCAACAAAATAATTAGGTATATCTATATAATGTAGGTGAACCACTGGCTCTACTCCCAATTGTTCAATAGATGCAATGATCAATATTAGCTGTACAATCAAACACAGATTCATAATAATAATTTATAATATAATTTAGTATTTGCGTCGGATATGACCCAAGTTCGGGACGAGTATAATATAATAATAATACATACTAATTTAAAACCCCGTGTACCTATACATTTTTCATCAATTCATACATTATTATATACATATTATTATGATTCCGATAGATACTTTTTAATGAGTCACATATTATATTTACATTTCCAGAACAATCTTCATTTTGTCTTTTGTGCACGCAATGGGAAATATCATAGTGGCTATTTCATCTCTCGTCACTTCAGTCAGTATGAATTTTCAAAGGTACTTATTATAATATGATTAAGTGTTTACACTAAAATATTAAATTATCTTGTATACAATTATTTTCCCTTCGACAGGTGTATTTATATAATATACTGTAAATTGTAATCAATATATTGTACCCATTATTACTAAACTAAAAAATTATTTAAATTTCACTAAAATAATATATTATATAACTCTGCAGATTATTTACAATATTTGGATTATTGATAACAGCAATCGGAGCAGGTGGTATAAGACCATGCGTCTGTGCTTTTGGCGGTGACCAATTTGTAATGCCAGATCAAGAAGATCATCTGCAAATGTACTTTTCGATATTTTACTTTACTATCAATTTAGGGTCAATGTTATCGTCTTCCATTACACCGGAGCTGAGGAAATCAGTTCAGTGTTTTGGCAAAGATTCCTGTTTTCCATTAGCATTTGGGGTGCCTGCTCTCCTAATGCTGATCTCAATAGGTAAGATATTTACCATAAATCATAACTCGTAGATATACTGAGGAATGGCTAGATAGCTATACATATATTGTTTATTAAAATATGATTAATTTATTGTATAATTTAATACATAATAATTCTGCTTATAAATTCATGAAATAATACGACTTAAGACTTAATCAACTGCATTAGTATATAATATATTATACTCACAACAAAATAATAGGTTATACAAGTAGTTACCTGGGTTGTCTATGACACGTTTGCTATTTCTTAGCAACACTAACATTTCGTTAAAATGGTATAGTTATACAAATTACCTAAACGTGGACCTACCTGGTACAGTCGTACGTACGTATAAATGTATAATTAGTATATATATACCCTTAAAAGCGGCATACTTTACTCCAGGGGTTAAAAATTGCTTCAAAAAAATATATTTATTGATATCAATACGTATATTACGTACATTACGATTTTGAGATAAGAGATTGTAGTTTTTTTTATATTGTTCTTATTAACATTACAATTTGAAAAGAGTTGTTTTAAAAAACACAAAAACTCAGTTATCCAAAATCTAGGAGATTGAAATTTAATTTTAAATGTATTGAAAAAATACTTTTAATCAACTAAAAAAAAAAAAAATGTATTATTCAATTATATATTATGTATAGGTTCAAATAAGTTACAGCACAAACTAAACATTGCACCAATAGTTATTACATGCATTAAAGTAAGGTAATTTTAATCATTGTGCAATGTAACCTGCAATGTATTTTAACTTTGCTCCAAACTTTTGGGAATAAGTAAGTAAGTCACTAGTACGACATTCGGATTTTTTTGAATTGTTCTTACCTCTCACATCTATACATATAAAACAACGCGAACAGGTCATTTTTATCTTTGTTATAGAAGCTATAGTATATAGGTTTAAACTAAAAAAGAAATATATTTGGAGTAAAGTATCCCGGTTCTTACCTACTTGGTTACCCACTTATTATGTAATTATTGTTATGCATATTTTTTGTTATTTTATTTATTTACTATGTTATAAGCAATATTATCACAATATACAATATTTATATATATATTTTTTTTTTTATGAATGTTTGAGTATTCTTTGTAAGTGCCAAGAACATGTATACGATCATTAAACCCACGTCCAGTGTCATTACAAAGTCAATTGGATGCATATTTGTAAGAGTATTAAATTAATAGCTTAAAACAAAAATACCTATTTAGTAAATATTTATTATTTAGTGTTGATATTTTATACCTATATATAGAGATACCTATCTAAAAACTGATGAGTTATAACTTATAAGTATAACCATAGGCGCAACTAGGATCAATTTTTTTGGGGAGGGAGTATTACATTTTCTCCACGACCTTTACTAAGTTGTTATATTTTAAATTGGCTTGTAATGAATATAAGTTAACGATTGTACATCAAGCATCAAGTATGCACAGTGCACACCTAATTTTTATCCTTTATTTATTTATTTATTTATTTATTTCTGATTATTGGAATTTTTAAATATACGTACCTACTTAAGGACCATATTTTCAATTTTTATTTAAATTTATAAGTTGAAAATCAGCTCAATAATTTACAGTTAAAAAGGTTGGTTCTCGTTTGAAAATTAGAAGTTGCGGTATCGTCAAAAGACATTGAGGACTCAGAATTTGACGCCTCGGGACAATTGCCCCCTCCCCCCGTCGCCCCCCTAAATACGCCACTGGGCCCCAACCCACCACCAAGATGCGCTAATGGTTATAACTTATAACGTACCAAATATATAAGTAGGTATTATATAAATACAGAATATGATGAACAATACCTATATTATTATATTATCTTTGTTTTCCCCAAAAGCACGCATTGAGAAAAAAAATAACCGCTTCTTCAAATGAAGCGAAAAGGAAAGATTGGTTGGAATACGCAGATGATAAGTACAGTACACATGAAATATCTGATTTGAGATCAGCGTTGGATGTTTTATTTTTGTTAATTCCGATCCCAATGTTCTACACACTTTTAGATCAACAAGTAAGTTGTTCGTTATTGAGTTATTGTTATTCAAAAAACGAATTTAATAAAGTTAATCTTTATGTATTGCCATATACGAAATACCGGCAACCGGCCCACATATATTTAGGCACATAATATTAATTTATTATTATTTATAAACTATATTATATTTCAATAATTTACATCCATCTATGAATATAAAAATACTTTTTTCGATTACATTTTTCACGACTAATTCTTATGGGTAATGATCCACCCTTTAAAAATTATGTTTAGTTAATGACTTATTATCAATATAATAATTTAAAGAATTTAAGTAAAAAAAAGTAAAAAGTAAATAAATGTATATACGTATATTGTATAATGTATATTTGGTAAATAAATTTCCTTTTTAGAGTTCTCGTTGGGTTTTGCAAGGAACACTAATGAATGGAAAAATCGATTTTTTAAATTGGATTTTAAAGCCTGATCAAATTCATTTAATTAACCCATTGTTCGTTTTAATATTTATACCATTTTTTAATGTGGCCGTCTATCCACTTTTGTATAAAATTGGTATAAATACAGATTTTAGAAAAATCATTCTTGGTGGAATGTTTGCTGCACTATCATTTGCATGTGCTGCTGTTGTCCAATACACGATAATTGTAAGTATGAACTTAATAATAATTACATTATGTACATTTTGGCCATTCAATTAAAATGTTAATAAATAGAAAAATATGGAAAATTGTACAGAAAATTTAAATTTTGAAGCACTTCTGTTAAGCTCACCAAAATTGCATCCAATCTCTTAAATTAATTAATTAATCTCTTTCAAAATAGCCCTAGTTTTTGGTTTTCTTTAAATTAACAATTAAGATTAGCAAAATACAAAAATGGATCCCATTCATCTAAATCAATGTCTTCTGAAATTTTAAATGAGGGCTTATTTGAATAAAAATTGATAATTAATGTAGATACCTCTTAGAGATAGTTTGGATTGTTTATAGTTTATAGTTAACTTCATAACTAATACATGTAATTTTACTTAGGAAATAGGTAGGTATCACATTTTAGGTTATCAATTTTAAAAATGCGTGTTTTCAGGGCCAAACCTCTTCCATACCGTCAAATGAAAGCCAACTCAGAATATACAACAATTTTGATTGCAATGTATCCATATCCGGTTCATTAGTTGGAAACTTCAGTATTGAACAATTAGATGTACTTCATATTAATTACAATACAACTGTATTTAATGAAACTGACGTCTTATCCATAGACTTACTTTCTTCTTGTGAATTAAAATCGAATACATTGAAACAACATGTTTTCATCGAAAAAGGGATGGTTAGAATTATTATTATTTTATTAACCAGCATTTGGCATTTTGGCCATTGAAAAAACCATCTGTAAAAATGTATATTTATTTAATTATTTTAGGTTTCGTCATATTTGTTAACGTCTAAAAATAATGTTGATATTGAATTAATACATTTAAGCGAATTGAAAAAATTAAAGAACGGAAATTCAAATCTTAGGTAAGTATCTAAGATACATGGGTTTTGGGTAATATTATACTTTACCTAATATTAATAAAAACATCAAACATTTATTAACTTTTAATACATTATGTATCAGCATACGTATTACGCCGCAAGGCTGGGCATTAACGAGTTAATAAGTTAAAGTTAAGTTACTTTTAACTAAGTTAATTAACGAGTTACTTTTTTTTTTAGAAGTAACTTCTAACTTAACGATTTACATTTTTCCCCATGTTATTCAGTAACTTAACGAGTTAATTAATTTTATTGGCACGTTAAGTTAATTTTTTCCCAAACCACATATTATTTAAAATTAATTCAATTTTGTAAAATTAATTACATAAAAAAAAACCCGAAATATTAAATATATTTTATTAAATAATAATTTATAATAATAATAGTAAGTTTTTATATTGCATGTTCACAGAAAATATTTTATAACTATATTTTTAGAGGGAAATATCATAGAGATGACTCTAACCGCGTCAAAGAAAAATATAACAATTATTTACTCAGTACCTATCCCATACACGACATATCACCTAACCTATACCTAATCATTATTAATATCATTACTTAATTATATTTTTATTCATTCATAGAATTACGGTGATAACTTGGCCCGTCAATGTAAATAATACCCGTAGTAGCGTGGTATTTACTATTTACCTAATTAAAGTATAATACACAAAATTAATATAAGTACCTACAGTAACTAATTTTATTACAAACATTTATTCAAATATTGTAAGACATTTTTTGATTTATTGAATTATTATGTTATTTGTTAGCTTTAAAAAAGGTAGGTAGGTATAATTGTTAATTTTATTTTTAAAAAAAAGTAACTTATTTTTAACTAAGTTAAGTTACTTTTATTTTCTAGTTAACTTGTAACTTTTACAAGTTAAAAAAAAAATGAAGTTAACTTTTAACTTTAAACTTAACTTACATTTTTCTATATTAACTTAACTTAACGAGTTAAAAAAATAGTTAACTTGCCCAGCCTTACTATTACCTACCCATAGTGTAGTAGAACGATCGAATATACATACCTATACTCATTTTAATCAACATATAATATTAAAAATTATTATAATAATTTACAAGGATTTTGAATGATAATTTCTCCGGCCAAAACATTGCATTAAGGAATACTAATAATAAATTGTCCGAAATAAGTTTTAAACTTTCAACGAACCAAGATCAATCTTATGAATTACCTGTCGGAATGTAAGTATTGCCTAATTATACTTATATAATGTGTAATTATGTATGCTTAACTTTTGAATTATTTTTTAACTGACATTTATGCCTATTTATTTTAGTTATGATATATATTTGGATAATGAACCTATTTTGCAAAATGTTGAATTTCTCCCTGCTAGTATTAATGACCTATTAATTCACCATAACTTTAACCAGACGGTAACTAATTTAAACGCATAGCCGCATTGGTAATATAAAAATGTTTTGTTGTTATTAATTGAATTGTTTGCAATTTTAGAATGCTAAGTTGATCACTTTAGAAAAGGGTAAATATATTCATATTCTTTGGCAAGTTCCGCAAACGATTTTAATTACAGTGGCTGAAGTAATGGCTCTGGTCACATTATATGAATTCGCATTCACCCAAGTAACATAATTAATAATTAATAAATTATTTATATTTCTTATTAAATAAATATTTTAAGTGATATGAATTATGTAAAGTACCTATTTATTGGTGTCTCGACTATTGAAGACTATTGAAGGCACCGAGAAAATTGAGTGTAAGGGAAAAAGACATGATATTATGTCTGTAATAAATAATTATTATTATTTTCCAATATATACTTTATATTAAAAAAAAAAAAAATAAATAAATAAATAGATTCAAGATTAAAAATATTTATCCACAGTTTAATAATGTATTAACATTTTAGCTTTCATTATTATTAACTATTATAATAAAGTATATATTATTACTATTATACCTACAGAGTGGTTGTACAACGTGTACACTAACATTATTATGAAACAGATATTTTAGTTGAATTTTCACAATATACATTTTTAGTTATTATTATTTATTACATATTATATTTTAATATTTATATTGCGCTCAATTGTCGTGAATTTGTATTTATTATATTAACATAATATTTAACATTTAAGAACCTTTATGTTCTATGCTAAATGCTGATATTGTTATTAATTCTTATCTAATTATCTAATTCATTTTTAGGCTCCATTGAGTATGAAGTCATTTCTTTCAGCAGCCAATTTGTGTGCAGCGGCAGTTGGAAATTCACTTGTAGTTATTTTTTCGAAAATTGGACTATTTGAAAATCAAGTACGATATAAGTTAAAGTTGTGAATGGTATTATTAAGCATTCGATTTAAATCAAATTTTTTTAGGGTCATGAATTCCTATTTTATGCAGTTTTAATGTTTTTGGATATGATACTTCTTATGGCTATGAGCACCAGATACAAGTATAAACGTGTAAGCACACAATGAATCTAAAGAATAAACAGCAGATTTTAAATGTACTTAATTTAGCATGATTAAAGACTTAGTTTTGCCGTAGTATCATACACATAATTCTATTTAAACTATAATATAAATAAATGTAAGAATATATTTTTTTAAATGTTGTTTTTAACTACTAGAAACCACGTAAAATGTATTTTTCAAAAACATTCATATCTACATTTTGAAATAATCAGTTTCCAATGATAATAGAATCTAAATAAAAAAATGTATGCAAGAACTGTAATAATAATCTGTAAACAATTTTACCAGCTTCGAAACTATTTAAAACTAAAAAAAAAAAAAAAAAAAAAATGGACTAAGCACCAGTTGTGAAAATTGTCTATGCCTATAATCCATAAACACTATTGATCTTCGTTACCGTAAAATTATAATATCAGTATCAATTTGTTAATAAACTTATAGTAATGAATAAATGGTTACCCGCGAGAAACCCGCTGTGTTATACATTTGAATTATTCAATCTCCCGCAATTGCGTAAATCTAGTAAAGAACAAAACAAAATATGCTTCTAGTTTTTAAAAATAATGCCAAATTATCTATGGAAACATTGATTCCAAATAATATATTCACTCGCATATTATTTCGTTCCATTTTGGTTGTTGAGTTATTTTCACGAATGTGATATTTAATACCTACTTCCGGATTGAACATTTGGGTCGGAGATGAAGACGTGCGCGCTGCATTTCCCTAATGAGATGTGCCACCCTGACCATTGCACAATAATATTATACGCTCGTAAAGGGTATATACGTCTATTGTTAAGAATGACATTTATTTCCGTAAGCTTTTTCCTTCTACATTTTTGGCCCGATAGACCTGAAATAAATAATATTTATTGACAGGCCAGCCGGTACCCGCCTGCAAACAAAGAGTAAATTACGTTAAAAATACCAGCTGTAAATTTTAATAGTAAGTTATTGGTAGGAATCGTTCACGCATAAGTATATACGTATAAATATGACGTCGCAAATGAATACTGAACAGAGAAAATAAAATGTAAGCTGTACTCGGCCTTTGCAGCGAAATATTTTGAAAACAAAAAAATCAATGTTTTATGAATATTATATAGACAATATTATGTAAAATAAAAATAATTATACCGACAATGCTTCTGTAGTCCGGTAAAATGTAAAAATAAAAACAGTCGAAGACACGACGTTCAAGAATCGTTCAAAATCAATAAAGATTCATAGCTCTCATCGATCCAACCAATCCCATCGACCTCGCCCGGCGGGTGTTGCCACGGAAATATTTGCTCTCGGTCATGTTTTCTGATGTTCGAGTGTAGTACACAAAGTACTTTGGATAAAAATCATTATCGTTGTACTTTACGTATACGCGGCCGTTGTGACTAACAGTCGTGTCTGCACAGCCGGGTGGTACGATCAGACTGTCCCCGTTGTCCCCTTCGGGAATGTCGTACGTTTTTCTCACCAGCACGGAGCATATCATAATCACTCGTCTTCCTGCGCAGTCGATCGCAAGAACAGAACAAGAAAAGAAACGATCTCATTATTAACTGTATATTATAATCACTTGACGTTATTTTGGTAAAACAATGACGTCTCAAATAAAAAGAAAATTGTACGTTGTGTGTCGAATGTAAAACGAGCCACAAAATTTGTGTTGCTCAAAAAACCCATGGCTGTAGTGTGTGTGGGATGCGGCGAACACGTACACACTCCACACCCGCATACATTTTAAGTGCAAAAATTTGAGAATTTAACTTAAATTTTTACCAGTCCTCGTTTGAGATGGTAACGAAGCAAGTCGACTAGTTATGGAACTTGTGTATAAATCCATTCCGCGCAGTATAATAATATACCTATAGGTACATTCGAATATTTTCACAACGTGGGCATAATATTTTTATAGTGGTGACTGATGAGGGGTGCGGGGTGCGTACTTGTAGCATATCGTTGACGAACCGGCAAAAATTAATTATAAACTATTAAACTAATAAACAATATCATTATTATACCTCCGGCCGAGTTATCAGAGTAGAAATTAGCGTAATCAGCGTCGTCACTGAACGACACGCCGCACCCGAACTTGGCACGCCGAGTGCGCCTCCAATCGAGTCCACTCTCCAGTGACTCCAGGGCTCTGTCCTCTGTTGTCACGTGGTACAAATTTTTTTTTTTGACTTTACTTTGGTGAACAATCAATTTCATTTCTTCATAGCGCAGCTTATAAATGGCGTACATATGCGGGGCGTAGACTTGGCGTATCTCACTGATGTTGCACTGCAATAGATATTATACGAAATAGTATACATTGAAATTGTGTTAATTAGTTACGTCTAGTTACTAGACGTAAATGTTAGTTCAATTACTAAGTAAGAAAAGATTAAACTAATTAACACAATTTTTTTACAATTTCAATCATTTCTATTATTTATTTGGATAGATTTACGTTGTGAGGTTAATTAATTCCTCAAAATTAAATTTAAATGATTTAATAATATCTGCAAACCTACGGATACGAAAATAATAAATAAAATTTCATAATAATTCATAAAATTCTAGTATGATTGGTGAAAAATTCAATAATTTTAATCCAAACTTTGACTGGTTGCCATTTAGTCAATTTTGATTTTAGAGCTATGGTAAAAAGGACCAAATCGACTTAAAAAAATTCGGTCTATCCGAATTTGGTATTCAAAACACCTGTTGCCATTTAAAAAAATGCAAGTTGCGCACACGGAAAGATCTAAAAATGTAAAAATCATTAAGAAATGTGTATTTATGTATTCCCTATCCCCTCCTGAAAACCGCATATTAATCCGATGTCACTGGACAGAATTATTTAGTGTTACCTTTAAAAGGAAACACACTGTATAGTATGAATAAGTATGAACTATAATAGTGTAAATAAAAACTAATGTAGGTACTTAATACCTATACTTATGATTTAGATTATTTTATTTTGTTTATTTATTTAAATATATGTACATATGGTATGTATTTAGGACATGACTCGTCCGTTTACACAAGTGTCAAGTACTGCACTGCTGCGTATCGGATAAGTTTATGTACACAATACACATTATATTTGTGTACCTACTATTTTGGATTTTGAACATATATTATGTTTTTAGTGTAAAAAGGGCACTATAATAGTAAAGTTAGTGGCAAGTAATAAGTATAGGAAGATTTTTGGATTAATTGCGCTACTGCAAGCTAAGTTAGGTTTTATATTTCTCCTTAAAAAGCAATGGGCTCAGACGATGGCACGAGGCCACGATCCGATGTTGGATTCAATGATCTTGAAAAATATGTTGCTTTCAAAAATATGTATTATTTATAATACTATACGTCTACACAATATAAAACAATGATGAAGAATGGACATTTACGATTTGCCTATGAAAGTATACTTGAATAATATTATGCTTATAGCTTATGGATTTGTCTTCAAAGCTAAAATTCTATAGGTAATATATACATAATTTTGTTTTTCGTAATTTCATTTCTGTGTAATTAATAATAATTATTTATTATTTCGCCGTTTCAAATATTACAAAAATGTCAATATTAGTTTATTATTAAACGAATGATTCCCCTCGTCAGGCTACGCGTTATATTATACAGAGTGATTTTTTTAAGCATGCTCACACTATTTTTTTACTTAAATTGTACATATGTGAGTGTACTTGTATAATTATACAAATTCTGATTTTTAGAACTTAGTAGAAACTTTAGTAAAATATATACTTGAAGATTTTCGAATACTTTTTTATACCATTTAAGGATGATGTTGTTACAATACAAACTTCTGTTTTTTTTTCAAATAGGAATCCTCTTTTTTTACTATTATTATTCAGCAAATATTTTTATTTGATAACTTTGATGCATCTAAATCAAAATTCGAACTATAGTTTTTGTGTTATATAGGTATAACTTTGTGTACTAAGGATAATACGTATCTATATGGAAATAAGCTAAGTAGATTTGGGGGCTTAGATGATTTGAAATGTTAGTAGTTAGTTGTTAGTACTAATATCACCATTGATCTATCAAGATAAATAATTTGTAAAAATTATTAAGTTGGTGTACTGATAACAGTGAATAGGTAGGTACTAAAATAGTAAATAGACTGCATGTCAGGCGTTGCATGTTGACACATTGATACGCCGCGTCGCACGCTCCTATAAAATATTAATATTATTACGTCAGTTTTTTATAACGGCAAAAAACTTGACACAAATCTTCGAAAATACAAAAGTATTTCCATAAATTAAAAATTTTTGAAAAGTCTATTTCATAAATTCTTTGATGTAGCTCTTTTCAAAATAATGTTTTATGACTTAATTATATCGTATATATTTTTCAGTGGGGGGGGGCTAGAGCCCCACCTTGTCCCCCTTGGTGCACTGCCTGCAAACAAGAAAGGTAATAGTTCGCGTAGGAATATTATTATATGTAAATAAATTAATATATCTGTGATAATCGCAAGAGTAAATCGTAAGTTAGGTACATCTATGTCATGGACCTACTGGAATTTTTTTAATGAACAAAAAAAATCAGTGTATAATAATGTAAATATGTGCTATACCTACTCATATATGCGTGTGCATAAGATAAATTTAATTTTGCACCCATGAGCTGATTATTCCGCCCCTGATCATGGTTAATCATCGTAGTAGGTATAGTAGGTAGGTACTCACATTTGCAAACGTTTGGTGGATGCGACTCGAAAGTAGTTCGTACCGTTCTCTGCTCACGTTAACAAGCTGTGGACCGTCACGTGCGTCGCACTTGTTGAATCGCGAGTTGGGATAGTCGAGTTTCAATAGATATGCAGCGTGTTTGGTAAAATCCTCTGACTCGGAGACTTTCTTTTTGCTCGCTTTCGAGTCCATAATAGCGCTCACAATCGCTGTGGCTAGACAGATATTGAAATGTAAGCTGTTCTAGCCGTTAAATTACTAAAAAGAAAAAACACAAACTTATGATGGGTTCCGTCGTTGTATATCATCAGAGGATTTTAAAATTTTAGACAGCTATTATTTATAATTATAAATATTAAATACGTATGTCATAACAATCTTCTGATTGTTGAACCTTATATTATGTTTACCTATATTAATATAATAATATTTATTAATGTTTGCTTACCTACCAGATATTGCAGAGAGATGACCTGACACAGTGCTTCTTCTTATTTTGCTAGCCTGATAATGGATGACGGATGTCTGGTTAGGTCTGGTCATAAAAGAAAAATACATATTTATTTAAAAATGAAAAGCGCTCTTATTATCGTCTGGTCGTCATCGGTATACACACTGGCAGACCAGTCTGATTAAATCAACGAACGCTTTGTATAATATTATTATCTACTATTGTCTATTAGTAGAACATTTAATACATGGTGATTTGACTGCGAGAACTGACAGCACTGATATTTTAATATTTTTAACTTGCACATATTTCTATAATATAGTACTAGTGGTACTAGATAGAGAGCCTTATATATATATATTATCTAGGCTCTCTAGACTCTAGTACCTACTAGATATCGAAGTCCCACCATGAATTTAAGCTTCAAGGTCGGTTGGCAATTGTATGGTATTTTATATGGCAAATAAGATTAATTATGATTTATCTTCAGGGGCGGACAGGCTACTTTTGGTCCAGGGTACACAATTAATTAGGGGCCCGTACATTTTTTTTAAACTTAATAAAAATAGGAAAAAGTTCTACATTATAACAAGGATTAAATTTAACTAATTTAAGAGGGCCTGAAATGGGTAATCGGGGCCTGTATTACAAATAGGTACGAATGGGGGCCCGAGATGATACCTGGTCTATAGCACCCTAGACCAGTCGGCCCCTGTTTATCTTGTAATGAACCTATTTTATTATTTCTACACCTGTTGCTTAAAAAAAAAAAATTATATAAATTATTCGTATGATTAAAATGGCGGCCGTCCAGAGCTGAGCCGAGATTGTAACAATGTACATTAGTATTTACTATACAGAATACTGTAATGAATGAAAAATGAGCTTACGCGATTGATGAGACATGAGTACATGACCTTATAATAATAATATATTAACTAAGCTAAGGTGTTATAGTTAGGCATTTTTAAATGAATAATAATTAGTGGGGTTTGGAATGTCGACTTTCTTTACCTTAATTTTACTATTCACTAAAGCCTATATTATTACGATTAATAGGGATCGTGACAGTGCCGCAACTACAATTTTTGGGCCCCAGGGCGACAGAGATTTAGTGCCCCATTTTTTAGCATGTCAGACACTTATTAATGGTTTCATTTTCTGACCCTTTTTCATCTAGTAATTCAAATTTACATCAATATGTATATTAAAGCATATTTTAAAATTCACAAATTCACAAAGCACATCAATATATAAGAATTCAAAATTTTAGAATGATAACCCAATTAAATTACAAAAACATAGAGGTCTTCCAAAGTTGTTATGCAATTTAAAGATATGTATAAACTCAAAAATTCTAGATCATTTAACATTGAATAGGACATTAGGACCTAAACCATAATTATCATATTTAAATTAAAATGAGGTATACCTACTTACTGAAAAATTATGTATATTGATTACATTATTCATTTTAGGTAAGTATTTGATTATTTTCATAATGGTCTACTGCTTCATTGCATTGGTAACAACTAACAACTATCTATTTAGTGAAGTATGAAAAACTTACCATTACTATTTATATTTATTTTGTTAATAAATACATTCATTGATCCTTTAATTTTTTTGAGTTCAAGTTCTTTTTTTTCTTTTATTTTTCGTTTCTTACAACCACTGAGTTGTTTGGGTTTGGTTGACATATTGAAAATTCACGTTTAATATTTAAATTAAGGAGAATCCAAACAAGTTACAACAAATGCGCATTTACAAACAAAAAACTTTGGTCTTGAAGAACCTTTTATGATCACACGTATCAGTTATCACTTCACACTTTCAAAGTTTCAAAATAAGAAAATATGAACACTGACCGACAGGCGCTGGACGCATATTAGTTGTTTGTTACAATAATATTATAAATTAGATAAGATAAAGATTATTTTTAGCTTTTAAACGTCTGCGCGCTATCAGCCCCTACCACACAGAGTGCTGAGTGACACACCATAATAATATTGTCTTTGGTGTTGGTCGTTATCGTTTTATCCATTATAAAAATACATTAATTGTTTTGTCATGATTTTATTGTGTACACATAAAACAAGTTATACACTCGCACAAGCCACCTCACGAATTTTCATTCCCATCGTTGTATTTCTTATTTCATAATATTAGTTATCGCTAAAATAACGATATTAATTACGATAATTTTAGGTACTAATTAGTAATAAGTGCCTATAAATAAATTTCAAAATATTATCGTTAGTCATGGATTTGTGAGGTTTGAATCAGTGCCCCCAAGTTTATTTTGTAGGCCCTTATAGACAGGGCATCGCCCTGTTCGCCCCCCCGGTAATTGCGGCCCTGGATCGTGAATACAGATTTATATAAGGAGGTTATTTTGCTTAATATAGGTTATTTTAAATTATACCTATATTAGACTTGTATGCCTTTTTATTTGATAATTTAATTCATTAATATTATTACAAATTTGAAATTTGAAATTACCATTGATTATGAATTAATATATTAATATAATTTCTTACTTGTGTAGTGTGTACAGCTGGCAAGTATTGAGTATCTTCTTTTGAGGTGAGCTCAGGAGATGAGAGTCCATAGAGCGAATTAACTCAGAACAAAGAATTACTTCTTAGGTAGTTAAATGATTTTAAAACCCTTTTTTATTTGAACAGTTTTAAATAAATATCTCTCAAATAAGTAGTAACGGTCAACGTAGTAAAGTTAAGGCTTAGTAACCGTAACGTCCATAACTAGCTCTGAACATATTATAATGTACCTACTGTGTTAGACAGGCGTAGCTGCTGGGAACATACTGAGTTGCTGAGAACAGACTGTGGTATCAAAATTGGGTCCTATTTACCTATATCAATGACCTTTTGTACTTGTTGTTCGATTTCAAATTATTGTTGTTTATTTGAAAAGGTACCTACGTGGGTACAAAATATGTTATTGTTAACGCACATTTTGTCATATTGTTCATAATATAATATATATATGATTATCTTAAGTGTTATGCTTATTTTTTGACTATAGTAAAGTATATGGTACAATTATTTAATTAGGTTTTAAGAGTTAAGAGCAACATAATTAAAAGCATGAAGCCATGAACTATATGATTAATCATAGTTCATGCTTAATAGTATTATAATTTATAATGATATTAAACAGTGTAAATTTGTGGCGTAATAATGTGATTATCATTACCATTCAGGCTACAGCCAATTACATTTAAATGTCAATCAGAATAAAAATAAAATTAAACGACAGCGAGTGTGATGACTGATGAGTAGAGATAGGATGTTAATGACTTTTGAATTTTTGCCCTTTGAATTACTACTCAATAAGTATACATACTCATTACTTATAAATTATAATACCTAATAAGTCTAAATTCTGTCTAATTACATATATTTACAAAATACATGAAATCATCTTTCTGGTTTAGGTGGCATCTAGTTTAGCTTAGCTGCGCCGACCAAGTCTTATAACTTACGTATGTACTAATGTACTATATACTTATATTACAATACTTATAACAGTTCCTTACCGTCACTATTGAACTCAATAACTTTTCTATTATAAGCTTAACGGTGTTGAAACATTGAGGTGCATAAAACTATGTGCTTTGAGAAATATTAGAATCCTTTGTTAATAATTGCATTCATTGGTGATGTGTGTCTATGAATCTAAAAAGATGAACCTAATGGTTTTATTTTGAAAATAAAAAGAACTTTATTTATTTAGAATTTTCTCTTTTTTATTTCACGCATAAAAAGAAACTAATGAAAGTTAAAAAGAATATCGGAACATTTTTAGAAATTAATAATTAGAACCAGTAATTAGGAACTGCAGTAATCGGAAAAATATAACGAAGTAAAAACTGATGTATATTATACAAATCAGTGGCAGTTTTGATAAAACATCAAGGAAGGGGGGGGGGCTATTTTCAATTTTTTGGGACTCCCCCGCCATAATTACATATTATATCAAATAAAGAATAAAATTTGTTTATGGTCCTATAATAAATTACATATAACTTCAGTTTTAAAAGGATGGACACTTTACAGCCCCCCTCCACCGTCTAAAGTGTTGTACATTTAATTAAATTAATTAAATTCTATTTTTTCTAATATTTTTCATAAATCCACAACATCACTTGTGCTTATTCCCTAACAGCACAAAGTCAACCATCAGACTGCCACTGTATGTCATTATAGGGTAGTGGGCAATTTAGAAGAGAAGTCTGTGGGACGTCAAATGGATACCCTAATGTCCGCGTCCAGGGATTAACCTTTAAGGGATGTACATGGGAAATCCTTTTTTTCCTTATTTTAGTCCAACCAAATGCCAGCAGGTTACCCATTTACTGCCATTTGATTACCAACAGACCTCTTTTTGGAAACCAATAGACTAACTAGAAAATAGTAACTGTAGTAAGCTTGGAATGTCAAATGTCAACGATAAAAGTGATAATTGATAATAACGTTATATGAATAATACTTTCCGGATGTCCAGAGGCCTTCTAAAGGACTTCGTTTGGTGGCTGTGCATAGCCGTCCCAAGGGGGGGGCAAATGGGGCAAGTGCCCTAGGGCGTCTAAAGTATTATGAATTTAGGGGGCGTACTAGAAATGGATGATAAAAAGAAAAATTTGGTGTTTTTATTTTAGGTATTATTTTTTTGTTTATACTGTAATATCAAAGATGAGTATCTATCAAATTGTATA